TGGGTCAGATCAGGTCAGTCCCTGCCGGCTGAGGCCAATTCCAGTCTTTCCCACTAGGAATTATCCGGTTAGATAATGTTAGATAATGCCGGCTCCTGTTTCCCATTGGATGCCACTCTGGCTTCCAATCAAGGGCCCCAGATTAGATTTTAGCTGCATTCTGAGAGTGTCGGCTGGTTGGAGAGTTCGTACTGCCTGGGGGCTGCCACGTGCGATGGAGACGATGATGGTAGTGAATATCACTTTCTGTTTGGGTAGAGTGGACTGGTTGGTGCTAAGCATTCATTCCAATCTTCGTCCTCCTGGTGTGTCTTCCTGGTTTGCCGGGGGTGGGGCTGAGCGGTGGGGCTAAAAACTACATTACCCAGACTTCCTTGCCGCCGTGGTTCTGTATGCAAGATAGGCTCTGCCAATTAGATTGACTCAGATAAGGTTATGCCCGCAGAGCTTTTTTACTGTTGCCCCTGAGATGTAGTTTGTTCGTTTTCTAGCGACTTTACAGTGTTGGAAACTCCCTGAGTGTAGAGAGCAGCGGTGGTGGGACAGATGCTTCCTGACCTTGGCTTCACAGCTATCGTGGTATGTTCTTGGAGCCACAGTTTCAATAGGAATCTCCCAATACTCTACCTGCCTGACTGGGTAGAAGTCACAGCTCCCTGTGGGCCAGGCCCAAATCCATCTCCCACCACACCCTTCCCGCACAGTTGTTTCCCTTAACTTCCCGATCTCAGTAACTGGAACCACCATCCACCCAGTTGCTCAAACTAAAAACCCAGGAGTCATCTTGATTGCTAGTGTCTCAACAGTCCTGTTGAATCTTTATCTAGTACGTACTCCAATCTGGCTACTTCTCTCACCTCCACCGCTAACACCTTGTCTAGGCCACCATCACATTTCTCCTGGGCTCTGGGAAATGATTCCTAACTAGTTCCTCTGCTTCCTATCTTGACCTCTGAATAAGCCACTTTCCATGTAGCTGCAGAACATTCGTTTAAAATCATAAATCAGACCATTTACTCTCCTGCTTAAAAATCCTTAAGTGGCCTCCCAGTGCATTTAGAATACATTCCAAATCTTGGCTGTAGGCCAAGATGCCATGTGATCTGACCTCATCTCTACCTTGCCACCTCTTGTTTGCAATGCTCTGGTCATTCAGGCCTTCTTAAGATCCTCACATCTAGGTGTTCCTGCGTCAGGGCCTTTGCACTTGAAATAACTTCTGCCTGAAATATTTTTTTCTCAGATCTTTAAGTGGCTGCTTCCCTTATGCCATTGACTTTTTTTGCAAAAGAAAATATTTAATACATACATATGTATTCGAACCCCACATACATGAGAGAGTCAGAGATCCCACATGCAGGAGAGTTTCAGAGATAGAAAGGGAACATGGGGCCCTGGCCAGTGTGCTCAGTGGTTAGATCATCAACCCATGCACCCCAGGGTCGCAGGTTCCCTGTCAAGGGCACATACCTGGGTTGCGGATTCAATTCCCAGTCAGGGTGCAGCCAGGGCACATGGGGGAGGCAACCAATCCTGGGGTAGAAGTAATAGCTTCCTGTGGGCCAGAAATATATCTCTCACATTGATATTTCTCTTCCTCTCTCCCTCGATCTCCCTCTCCCCTTCCCTCCCATCCACTCTCTCTAAAAATCAGTGGGGAAAAAATATGCTCAGACAGGCTTTTCTCATCACTCTATTGAAAGTTGTCCTCAGACCCCATCACTATCATACTTATAACATTGTCACTGTCTGTCCAAGACTATTTACTTACATATTTACACTTCATTGTCAGGGTCTCAATGAAAAGGTAACCACAATACCCCTAACCGGTTTGGCTCAGTGGATAGAGCGTCGGCCTGCGGACTCAAGGGTCCCAGGTTCGATTCCAGTCAAGGGCATGTACCTTGGTTGCGGGCACATACCCAGTAGGGAGTGTGCAGGAGGCAGCTGATCGATGTTTCTTTCTCATTGATGTTTCTAACTCTCTATCCCTCTCCTTTCTTCTCTGTAAAAAAAAAAATCAATAAAATATATTTAAAAAAGTAACCACAATAAAAACAAACATTCTATCTGTCCTGTTTATGTTGTGTCCCTAGTACCTCTGTACAGAGTAGATGCTTAATAAGTACATTTTCAGTTAATTAACTCTTTGTAGCTCAGTCTTATTCTAGGGGAGTTTGGAGCTCATAGGAGAACATAAAGAATTTGAAGTGTTATGTCAATATTAAGTAGCATAATTATTATGTTACTAGAGGCCTAGTGCACGAATTCATGCATGGGTGGGGTCTGGTCGGCCTGCCCCAATTGGGGCCAATTGGGCCAGGCCGGTTGGTGGGAGGGGCCATGGGCGTTTGGCCAGCTGGCCCTGACCCCTGGTCAAATTCCTGGTCAAAGGAACAATTTTCATATTAGCCTTTTATTATATAGAATAAGCCCTTCCTCTCAGAGTTTCTAGCACTGTTCTCCCTCTCTCTCCTCTCTCTCCTCTTCCTCCTCTCGCTCTCAACTGGGTTCTCTTTTTACTTAGTAGTGAGAGCCACTTCCAAACCATCTTTAAAAGCTATTTTGATAAAGCAGACTACATGATATATTTAATGGAGAAAGAGCGAGGGTTGTAACAATGAAACTCAAGACTGGTATTGTCTTCCCTCCCCCACCGTCAGGAACCAATAGGGTGAGGAGGTGAGGGGTGTCCCATCCTAGACTACAAAGCAAAAAGAGAAGCCAGGGGCATCCCGCCCCTCACCCGTGCCTCTGGATAAACACCGGGCCCTTTCCTGTAAAAAGGTTTCTCTTTTCGTCACTGGTACCTGGGTTCACCTATGGCTGGGGCAGAAGGTATTGGGGTTAGTACTTCTACTGCAAGGCACTGGGAAGTGCCCGGAGGAGTGTTGCTCTTAGGACACTCCTGCTGCCTTGTCTTCTGCAGACAACAGCCACAGGAAGCGAATTTCTCCAGCTGCCGCCGCGGGCAAGGGAGGGCATGGGGGTGTCTGGAATACCTAGGGCTCCTGGCTTAAATAGCTTTCCAGTCGTCCGGTGAGCTCGGGTGCCCCCCTGTGGTTCCAAGTGGAAAGTGTCCTTTACCTTAGGGGAAGGCATCAGCGTGGTGGGAACATCTATTGTCTTGCTACTGAAGTGAGGTCCGGTCCACTCACCGGCAGCGTCAGCATCTCAGGTCTCACTCCAAACCTGTATCAGAATATGTACGTTTAACAAGATCTGCACATAAGTTTGAAAGGCACTGCTCTGTCGGCCCCTGGGATGGCCCTAAAAGCCCTCCTCTCTCCATAGGAGATGCTGATGTCAGCCAATGACCACTCACAGCTCTCAGGTAATGCCTCTCCTTAGGGACTGGAGAGACGTCCCCAGGACCTTTCCCCACACCAGCGTCCTTGGTTCTCCTCTGACCAAGGTCTCTGGGTCAACCTGAGTGCCTGAGTGCCATATGAGCTTTTATGTGACTCAGTCCTCTCCTCCAAGAGCTCATAACAGCCAACTTTTAAAGCTGTTTTATTTATTTATTTTTAATCCTTACCTGAGGATATTTTTCCATTGATTTTTAGAAAGAATGGAGAGGAGGGGGAGAGACAGAGAGAGAAATATGGATGTGAGAGAGACACATCGATTGGTTGCTTTTTGCATGAGCCCTGAACTGGAGCTGGGGATCGAGCCTGCAACCAAGGTATGTGCCCTTGATGGAAATCGAACCCAGGACCCTTTAGTCCATGGGCTGATGCTCTGTCCACTGACACTATATCCACGGGCCAGGGCTAGCACTGTCCACTGACACTATATCCACGGGCCAGGACTAGCACTGTTTTGGTAAAGCACACTGGGTGTAAGCAGAAGACCTGGGGTGTGCACTGCTCTGCTCTCCTTCCCAAGGCAATTGAACCGCAGGTGGTAGAGGAAATGGCCCAGTTACAGAGCCCCCATTATGGGGTTCCCCCAAGAATGCTGGTCTAATTCTTCCATTCCCCCAACATTTCTGCATCATGCCTCCATCAGATTGCTTCTTAAAACCTTCTGGCTCTGAGTTAAAAATTCTCTGGGAACCTTAGATTTCCCTAAAAAATGTACCTACCTTCTTGCACGGAGTTGATGCCACATAGGGGACAGCAGGAAAAGGACCGTTGAATTAAAGATCAGAAGCCCCAGAACTTCCTCCTCTGCCCCCACCAGCCCCGTGACCTCAGGAGCACAGTTGCAAGCGGGTGTGTTCATACTTGCCCTTCCTTCCTCCAGAGCTAGGCAGTGTGGCAGGTAACAGTGTATGTCTAGGAATTTTGGCAACTGTGAAGTAAATTTTTTTTTAAAAAAATAGAAGAGATTGCTATTGTAACTTCAAAAGATAATCTCTAGATGAAACTCGGTGTCTTTATAATGCTCACAAAGTCTGGAGAGATGGTAAGGCCACCCGTTTAGATGTGCCCTGGGAGCTCAGTGTGCTTGGGGATGTGCAGATGTCTGGAACCTCAAGGAGGCGATGTAAGGGTGTGTTGTCCTCTATGGAGAGAAAGA